AAAGCCCTACATGGCTTGGAACCATGGTTTCTGAAGGACAGTCTCCTCCCATACATTCTTGCCTGGGAATTAAGATCACAGGGAGATGCCCTCCTGACCGTCCCACAAATTAAAGATGCTTGTTTGGTGGGTTCATGAGACAGGGCCTTTTCCAGGGCAGCCCCACGATTATGGAACAACCTCCCCAAGGAGGTATGCCTGGCCCCTCAATGTCAATCTGCAGCAGAAAGTCGAAGAGTTTTATTTAGGACTGCATTTGATTGATTTAGATATTATTACTGGCATCCTAAACGAAGTTTTAAAGTGTGATTTTGTATGGGTCTTATAATTACTGTTTTTATTGTTTTTTATGATGTTTTATTTATACTGTAAGCTGCCTTGAGTTCTGCAAAGGAGAAAGACGGCTGATAAAGGTCCTAAATATATAAAAGACAACAGCCTTTGACCAGAAGTCCATTTTAAAAAGCTGGTGAGATAAAACTCCTACTTAAAAACCAGGGCAAAAAGAAGTGTTTCAGCCTGGTGCCTAAAAGACTGTAAAATGGGCACAAGGAGAGGGTGTTTGAAGGCAAGGTGCCACCACAGAAAATGCCCTGTTGGTTGGAGGTCTGCAGTAGGATTTGGAGGAAATTTATTACACCTCCCCTTCTGCTAGTGGCAAATTTAGTCTGGATCCAACTGTATACAAAACAGTCTGAGGGAGAGAGCTTCAGAGAGCAGCCATGTTGCTCTGCAGTTGAACAGCTAGATCACTTAAAAAACCAACAAGATTTTTGGGGTATAAGCTTTCAAAAGTCAAGATTTCTTTGTCAGTCTGAGGGAGAATTTGCATGAAGTGAATGCTTGTATACTACCATCAACCGGTCTATTTTCCTGAGAGCAATTCAAGGTACAGAACAGACCTCCTCACAAAAAGGTGGACTGTATAAGAAGGTCGGCAGCAAGACTGTCGAAGTGCCAATGTTTTATCACAGTTCTCATAGTTCCAATTTTATATCACAGTTCCCATAGTTTACCCACAAAACATAAGTTGTTAAAAAAACAAAAACACACTGTGTGAAATATTTATATTAAATCTTCTCTTAAATAACATGAGTATAAAAAACAAAATTAACCCCCCCCCTAAAGTATAGTGTACTGTTTTAATAAATGATAACAAAGTCCTAAACAACGCCACCAGGAGCAGCTGCCCTTTGGTCTCTTTAAAATCTGTCACTAGGCTCTGTAGGCTCATTGTCAATTTTTCCCATTGCTGCTAGACAAAGCCATACCCATCAATCTAAACAAAGCCATACCCATCAATCTTCATTAAATACCAACTTCCCTGCTATTTCCACACCTCTCCACCTCAGTTCGTGTCTCTTGCATGCACATGATTAGTTCTTCACTTGGGAGGACGGTATTTTATAGAATGCCTGCAAAACTGTTGGAACTCTCTGTTTGGCAGTAGGAATAGTGATATAAATGGGCAGGGGGAGAACCGGAAGGACCACCCTCTACCCCCAATCAAGATCATCACTGCAAGCACTGCTAACGGTGTGCCCCTGGCCACAGAAGTGTGGCCAGCAGTGAGCTGAGACAGGGCCTGCTCACTGGTGGCCCTTCAGTTATGGGGGGGGGGCTATTCCTTACAGCTTGCCTAGCACCTATCTTATTGCCAGGTGAAAATACTGCTCGCCCCCTCTAGGTTTTTACATTTTTATAGCTGCTTTTGGTATTTTAATTCCCCCCTTCTGACTTGCCCTTAGCCTGTAACCTTTTATTCTGCTGATTATGGATTGTTTTATTGCAAAGAATTTCAAGGCTGGAATGGTTTTAAACCAGCTGCATTACTTTGTGTTGTTTTTGTGGGTCACTGCCTTGGGTAAGGTTCTCTGGAGAGGCAGGGCAGAAACACCCCAAATAAATAAATAAATACGGCTTGATCTTCAGAAAGCAAAACCCTTTTACAGAATACTGACACAGCCCCAGTTAATTAAAGGAGAAAGCTCTGCAAGGAATGCTGCTTCTCATCATATGCAGGTGCCTCTCAGGTTATTTGGCTTCGAAAGCAAACCACATAGGGAAGACACAGCTCCATCGCCTAAGACCTGCTGCTAGCTTTGACAGTACATAGATCTCTTTCTCTGTCACTCACATTCACTATTCTCTTTCTACGATTAGTACACAGAGCAGATGAGAGAAGCTGGTTGCCAGCAGGTAACGTAAGGAACTCCAATACCAACGATCTGCCTGGAAGACAGATTTACTGGCAGGAGAGAGACAAAACCCCAAATTTCAGAACAGCAGGCCACAACACTGAATAGTTTGGCAGCACACGCTCCGAGCAGCTACACGGTGAGGCTGCGTCTTTGGCGCTCCTCCTGAGCAGCTGCACAAGTCTGCATAAAGGCACCAAGAGTCAACAAAACAAGATAATAGCGAGTGTAGAACAGAACCGAGTCCCAATTAGGTGAAGAAGAAGGGGATTGATTTGTGACCGATCCCCGATAAGGAACTCACACAGTGGGAACGCTGGCAGAATCCCACTTTTCATTTCCACTTAATGCATGTCTCTCTCTGTCTCCAAGCAAAAAGTCAACATTAAGTTCGGGTAAATGTCACTATTTGCCCCCCCCCACACATCGCTCTGGGAAGGCATTTTGCAGAGAAAGCAGGAGAAACAATTTCACACAGTGGGAATCCACTCCACCATACATTTATCAAAAGCAGCAATCGGTGGGTTAATAGCTGAGAGGAGGCGTTTCTCCAATAGCAGAGTATGTGCAGCACATTTTTTTAAAGTCAGTATTGGATTCTGAAACAGAGACTGCTGGATGCTCATTCCATTGACACAGAGACTGGATATGGATAAAGACCACTTATCTCAGTGTGGCTGCATGAAAAAAGCTCTCCTTTGGCAGCTGGAAGTACACTGAGGGGGCTGGCTGATGTCAAAGGAGGAGGAGTTGGTTTTTATACTCCTCTTTTCTCTATCCTAAGGAGTCACAAGGCAGCTTACTATCATCTTCTCTTCCTCTCCCTACAACAGGCACCTTGAAGTGGGGCTGAGAGAGTTCTGAGAGAACCGTGACTGGCCCAAGGTCACCCAGCAGGCTGCATGTGGAGGAGTGGGGAATCGAACCTTGTTCTCCAGACTAGAGTTAGCCGCTCTTAACCACTACACCATACTGGCTGTGTAGTTTCAGCTATGCAGTGAACCAAGTATTCCCACACTCTTATGGAAGCTCCGATCAGGAAAACAGGAACAGGGCCATGGGCTTCTGAATTTCCTGAGGGGAGGGGGTAGCACGGGGCTCAACCTGGTCTAGGCCCATACTCAGTTATCTATATGAAATTATTTCAATATGAAATTATTTATGTTTACAAAAATCATATGCCAACAACAATGAATCATGTGGTTTAAAATATAATTTGTTCACTCATAATATTCTGAATCCCTAAGAAAGTAGACTCTGTAAGAGGCGAGGAAAGTTGTCATGAGTTTGGTGCAGTGGCTACGAGCATGGACTCTAATCTGGGAGGACCGGGTTTGATTCCCCACTCCTCCACATGCAGCTGCTGGTGTGACCTTGGGTCAGTCACAAGTACTCTCAGAGCTGTTCTCTCACGAGCAGTGCTCAAAAGAGCTCTCTCAGCCCCACCTACCTCACGGGGTATCTGTTGTGGGGAGGGGAAGGGAAAGGAGATTGTAAGCCACTCTGAGACTCCTTCAGGTAGTGAAGGGTGGGGTATAAATCCAATCTTCTTCTCCTTCACCAAGACAATTTGAGTACATATTTCATTTGGGTATGAAAGGAAATATTCTCCCACATTCTCTTTTCCTTACAACTTAGACTGAATGTGTGACTGGCTCAAGGTCACCTAGTGTGCTTCGCGGCTAAGTGGGGATTTGAACTCTAGTCTCCCCAGTCTTAGACCAACTGACTAACAACGACACCACTCACATACTGGATAATCAGTACACTACCTGGTGTGTGTGTGTGTGGGGGGGGCATTGCCCCTGCTGGGAAATCCCAGGGGGCCAGACAGTGGTTTACGCCCCTGAACAGGAGGGGTGATAGATAATGGAGACAACCAAGCTCTTTCCATGCAGCTAAAAATGACACACCAGGTGCTTTAAAACACAGGATTGATGCAGCAGATGCCTACCTGGACCCACTCAGAGGTATAAAAATAGCAGTGGAGTTCGAAGGCAAGGACATGCCAGCCCGCCGAAACCACTGCAAATGGAAGAGCCGGCCAAATTTTAGAACAATTTCAGCTAGCGAAATGAGGAGTTTGAGAGCTCCCTTTTTTGCTAGAGCCGCAAGATCCCATTTGCAACTCTCCTAATTTCCTCTTATTGCTTAATAAAAGCACTGCCCATCTAAGATTCTCCAAGAACGAGCATAAAAGACCCTGGACACAAGTTTAACACGAAGAGTTCACAAAGTGTCTCATATATGCTGATGCCTGTCGAGTACGCAGACTGTGAAACCATGACAACTGTTGATTTCCACAAAATAGGTGCCATAAAATGCACCAGGGAGCGTCAGGAGGAACAGGAACTGGTGTTCTGTTGGAGGAAGCCCATCTGGTCTACATGCCAAATGGAGGGTGGGGGGTATGGCAAGCTTGAGGATGACAGAAGCAACCAGAGGGGAGGTGGGAGAAGAAGCTGCAGCAGGCCTGGTGGCAGAAGCCGGGAGGTGTGCCTGACCTTCAGTTAGGGCTGCCAGGTCCTTCCTGGCCACTGGCAGGGGAGGGGACAGGTAGGATTGCCAGACCCAAGTTGGGAAACTCCTGGAGGTTTGGTGATGGAGCCTGAGGAGGATCAGTAGGGTACAATGCCATAGAATCCACCCTCCAAAGCATCCCTTTTCTCCAGGGAAACTGAACTCTGCGGTCTGGAGATGAGGTGCAATTCTAGGGGATCCCCAGGTCCCACCTGGAGGCTGGCACCCCTATCCGCTACAAAGGACAACATCAATCAGACTACACAGTATTGCAATAAATACCTGTTGTTTTCTTTGATTGTCCACGTTGAGCTTTCATGGTCAATCGAGGAATAGAGGGTTCCTTCCAACACGGGCAGGAGTGGATCTTTCAGTGCTACACTCATACTATCTGGAGAAAAGCAAACTTGTATGTCCTCCTTCGTGAATTCTTCTGGTAGGCGAAAAGTGACTGTCAAATCATCTCCACTTTGTTGCCAGTGGTAGAGGGGCTCTGCAAACAGAAACATGGAAGAGAATACATAACTGGCGACAGCCATGAGAAGATTTGGATGAGGAGGATCGGTGAGAAAACATCCAGAAAGCCAACTCTGTTTTCACTGAGAAGTTTTAACTGTGCCAGCCAGAAAATATTGTAGATACTTTCCACACGAGGGGTGAGGCAAAACAGCACTTGCGTATGTACTTTGGGCCCTTCTCATCCACAAATGTTGAGACTTCATTCATTTATACCACGCTTTTCATTCATACGGAGTCCCAAAGTTGGTCGCAATTAACATCTATCCATTGGGAATTCCATTTTTATCCTTTCATAAATTAAATTCAAGAAATGCTGCTCCATCTGTTGGGGCCTGGCAGAAAACGGAGACAGACAGCTGATACAGGGGATGGGTGAAGGAAGTATCCTAGATCTTAAACTCTCCTCTCTCATGGCCCTCTGCTCGGAGCTTCAGTAGCTGGAACCTGTGATGCCCCTGCTCAGTAAGGGCCTCTTGCAAGCACAAACCAACCAAAATAACCTGGGCAGCACGGATTATTTTCCTAAGAAGCAACACAGCAGCTATGACTATACCTGGGTTCTAACATCACCAAGTGTTAACTCACTTTCTTAAGCCTATTGGAGTTTTGAGCATTTCTGATTGGACCTAAGAAGATCCACCAGCAAAGGAAATATTCTCCATCTTGATGAGTTGCACATATCATATCACAGGAAACTCTGTAACCACTTACTTACTCCAGTGGGGACCATCTTAGTGTAAGGTCCATTCTGTGTATGGTCACTTTTCTGTAGGTTATTGTTACATTAATGGAGAGCTCAATTTGACTTATAACACTGAGGAAGGCCAGGAGCTGAAACGCATGTGGTATATGGAGGACAATATGTACTTTAAAACCTGTATTTAGGTAAATGGGACATTCGTCTTTATATTGGGTTAGGTACTTGCATGCTGAAACACAGGATGCTTTTAATGATATTTTAGCACTTCTGGTTGTGTTATTAAATTATATACTGATGTTTTCTACATCTGGACCAGACCCTGAGCTAGCTGGGGTCGAGGGGTGTGTGATGTGCCCAGCCCCCTCCACGAGGATGCCAGACCCCCCCACACAGGATGCTTTTAATGATATTTTAGCACTTCTGGTTGTGTTATTAAATTATATACTGATGTTTTCTACATCTGGACCAGACCCTGAGCTAGCTGGGGTCGAGGGGTGTGTGATGTGCCCAGCCCCCTCCACGAGGATGCCAGACCCCCCCTCCCCTGGTGTGGGCAGGCCTCGGCTTTCCTGTGCCTGCAGCCAAGCATTCTGAAGCTGTGGCTGAGGAGGAGGGGGAGGGAGGGGGAGGGAGGGAGGGAGGGAGGGAGACGGGTGGCCTCGCCAGATCTTCCTGCTTCTGCAGCT